GTGAAAAATGAATTAATTCTCGAATTAGGACATTGAGCTGTCATCTAAAATCATAAATTTATATTTATTTTCACTTAGATGGAAAATGCAGAAATCAAATTTAAAATTTAAAAACCAAGCAAAATATTTATCAAGCATTATCTGCACAGTTGTTTTCTTTATTTTTTCACAATTTTCTATAAAAGCTGAAGAATTAAAAGTGAAATGTTTGCAGAAATTATACTAAATGTGAAAATAGAAATTAAACTATTCAAATAAGAGCACTGCACTAAGAAAACTATGGTTCAGTTTAGTGGAGAGAAGGAGTCAATTTAGTGTTGCTTTCTCTGAGCTCTGCCAAGCTGGAAACATTGAATTTTCGAATCCGTGCTAACCAAAACCTGTACTGATTGAACAAATCCACGTACATTGAGAATTACCCTTATACAATTTTACATAATATTCATCAGTTTCTATATTATATACAAGCTTATTTTACATTATTCTGAGTTTAAAATTCATTTTTAATTAAAAATTTACATAGTCAATACTCCAATTCATTCATATTACGAATCTCAAACTGCTTTATTGGAGACTAAATATACATGCAAAATCAACAAGCTATTACAATGAAACACAATTTCCTTGTACTTTCAAACTGTGAAATTCATATTGGAGAACTCTCTAACAGTTCTAAAAATAAAAATGATTATTTAAGAACTGATAAAGAATCCATAATGATGGATATCACAGTATGAAGTTCATAATATGCCATTTTAATTTATACTAGTACATTTCTATTTAGTATGTCTTTGATCATAGCATCATTTAAGCCAAAGTTTAAATAAGACATTTTAAGTTAATGTATTATTAAGTGTAAGTTACATATATCGTCAAACTAACTTTGAAGGAGTTAGTTATTACTGGCAGATAACTGTTTAAAAAACTTTTTTGCTTCATCTTCAGATTAATTTGAAATTTTACACTTTGTTTTTATCCTGCAGATAAGAATAAAAGAACAAAATTTGAATCGGTGATCTAACAATAAAGCAAAGAAACTTTGAAAATGTTCATTAATGAATAATAATTGATTCTTTTAAAGTACTTCTGATGATTTTGATATTATTTTAAGTTATTTGTTCCTTAAAAGGAAGAAAACTGGGCAAAATTAATGGAAGACGTATTTATTAATAAATTATAATTACTTTTAGATTAATAACAATTACATTTGAAGTACATTAAGTAACATTTGAGTGATTTTAAGTTTACTTTTCATGGAATAAATTCTGATGTTTGCACATTAGAAAAAATCTATATTTTATGAGAATTTAATGAAATACAAGTTTATTTATAATATAAAATTGAAATTTCCATAACTTATAGTTTAGCATCACGTGACTTGAAATGAGTGTTGAATAAGATACAGATTTTATTTATGCACACACAATACACTTAATATATATTTTCTTTTTTATTATAGGTTACGCATCATCCTACAGACAAAATCCAGCATGAATACACACACAATACATAATCGTGCAAAACGAATAAAAATTGATGGTAAGTATAATCTGTTTGTTGGATTAAAATTCAACATTTGTAATGGAATTTCCAGTCTCAAACTTCGTGTAAATCCTTCCTAATTGGAGCAGTCGATCATAAACTTATCTTATAAACTTTTGAGCCTTTCAATCCTTCTTTACAATTGAGAGGCTTGAAAATCTGAAAGGAAGACATCACATTGTCTAAAAATTGGAGTTAGAATATCTAAAATTAAGCATGCCATATATAACATATAGAATTTACATGTAAAGTTTACACACTAATTATAATAACTATTTATATTTAGAAATTGAGAAAAAAGAAGAAAATAATGAAGAACCAAGGGAAAATTTAGCAATTATGTGTCTAAGATCTCAAGTGTTTAACAATCTTGGAGTACAGTGTGTGTTAAAAAATCGTTACGAGGAAGCAATGCGACTCTTTCGAATTTCTCTTTCCTGTTTTTCAGGTATGAGTATTTCTAAATATTTATATTTTTTTTATGTACTTTAGATTATGTAACAAAAACTGCAATTATTTAATTTTTCAAAAACCTCTATATGAGTTTGATTCAGATAAACTTCATATATACTGTACCTAGAAAAGGTGCAGCAGGCAAAAGAGGGATTGCTCATTCATTTATCAGATTTCTCAAGATCCTTCCATCTTTGCTTCATCTCTCCTGTAGTATGCTTTCACACATCTCTTATGCTCATAATCTTTTGCATCTTCACACTCATCCACTCACTCCCATCATAATTATCTTGGTTACCTACTTCACTTTCGGTAGATTTTTAAAAGATATCAATAAAACAAATTTTCTTACAGGAAATACTGACGTGGCCTACAATTCTTCCTTGCTTATGGCATTTCTTAATCATAAAGAAGAAGCCATTCTTTCTTGGATTAAGTTCAGAAAAGAAACCGATAATTTCGGTTATCCGACATCTCTTACGATGGAACAAATACAGAATTGCGAGCAAACGATAAAACTTACAACCCCGAAGGAATCCGTATCTCAAATGGTTATCTCGGACAGATTACAATTCTTGCCTTCTACTCATTCGACACATTTAGGATCGATACATATTTTGAAAAATGCTTTTGTTCCGTTATATGCTACCATTCATTAACATATTAAATAAGGATATAATAAGTAATTACTTTTATAAAATCATTTAAATAATTTATTTATGTAATTTTTATATCACGTAATAAATTGATTCATTGGATTTATGAAATAAAAATTATTTTTAAAGTTTATTTGATAACATGTAATATATAATTTTAAAAATACAGTAAATTTATATACAGACAATATTTTTATAACAAATTCATTTAGCATAATCATCATCATCATCATCATGGCCATAACTGCATAACCATACTTTTCATAATGATGGCGATTAGAAAGATCAAGACAATCTTTGTCTTATTTATTTAAGTACAGAAATAATACTGTTCAACAAAAATAAAAGCTTCCAGAATTAGCAAGCATAGTACTATACAAATAAGCAGAAGATGGAATGAAGTGGAACAAGGAGCCATGCCTTAACATCAGTTGAAGGTGATCCAAGGTCGGGAAGATCTTCGACACAATACGTATAAACATGACACTTCATCAGCAAAGATGCCTCAGTAGAAGGGAAAATGTTGAGCATATTATTTGAAAATGTATGTTGAATATTCTTTGTAAATGAGTTTCTTTTATGGTTCCAGACTTTCTATAGTATATGCCTGTACTGTATATGCATTCACATTTATGTTATCATCATCACAGAATGGAAGGAAGAAACTGATAAATCTCTGAATTTGAATTCACTTTAAAAATGAGAAATAGATCTGTTTCTATAAATTATAAATAAATTGTAAAGGAGTTTTAATATGTATTCAGAAATCCTACAATTAAATTTTTAACATGTTTGTTACTACATGAGCCATTTGTATATAAAAGATAACATAGATGATGAAAACTAAGGTGGTGATGATGATGATGATGATGATGAAATTATATTTCGTTTAAATATTTCTATAGCAATTATTTTTTATAATAAAATGATTAGTTTTGACATATTTCTGAGGAGTAACTCATACTGTATAAAATGCTTCCATTACTGCCTATTGTTTGTTTCCTTGCATAGCTTACCATACATACAGAGAAGCCGAACATTTACAGGTTCCTCTTGAGAAAAATTATGTACCAGGTATGTAAATGCATTTAAAACGTTTTTAAAAAAGGTAAAGAGAAAGACCTAGAACAGGGTTGTCCAACTTTTTTTTCTAATGGGCCAAATTAGAAATTTACGTATATTCAGCGAGTCATAAAGGTATCTTATATAAATATATTCTTTTAAAAAGTGAATAACAAATTTTAATAACAAATATATATATATNATGCATAGTTATTTCTTGCCCATCCTGTAGATGCTAATGTATTATGGACATTATAAATTTTATTGCTGAATGCACTAACTTAATCTATTAGAAATTAACCATATCTAAAATCTTAGTGTGTAATATCTTTAATGCAACTTTAAGTTTTCCTCCAAATTCCTCTTAATACAAAATTTTCTCATTTTTATTTAAATTATTACAACAATGATCAATTCTTCCAACTGCTTTATAATATTAGTCAATGTAGAAATTATAAATAAATAAAATAAAGTTTATTGCATTCTCTAAAAGCTATTTCCAATTTAGATCAGAATCATTTTAAACTTAAATTGTTTTATTCATTTAATATTTGTTCCAACAAATGAGCTCCTCTTAGTTTAGCTTATTGTATAGCTCTTATAAACTTATGAAGTTGCCTTTCTTCAAACATTCTTATCATTGAATGACTACACATGTCCAAAACTTAAGGACAAACAACATTTATATGTGAATAGCCTGTATTTTACACCACTGCAAACACACACTATAATGCTCTCTGGATAAAGGTACACAGACAATAGGCCTTTGAGTATAACCCTACTTTTTGCAGCTGCAAGTCACAGTTTAGTGGGATATTCTTGCTCCTGTACTGGAATGGCGGCAACTTACAAGCTGATTGGCCTTGCCACATTGATTGTGTTTTGCTGTTACTGTTAAATGTAAGTCTCTACATCCAGTCATAGAGTGAGGGCAACCTCCTGCTTTATGCCTGGAACACATTCCAACCCTTTGAAATATTGCTAGCTATCACCTCTAATAATTGCATTCATCCTTAAGTTTGGATATGTATATTCGATCATCTTTATCCAGAAAACATTATAAGAATCAGGAATATCAGGTGATAGTATCTTCTCCTCTATCTCTTCAGTTCACTTTAAATGTGGGGTGCATTTCCTTTTAGTATCTATCCACGTCTTTACTTAAACTTCTCATAACAATCAATTTGTTTTCTCAAGTGTTCGATAGCTAAGAAATATTTTTATGCAATATTATATCTGTAAATGCAATTAAAACATAAAATAATTTAAATTTTATTTTTAATATTACAGAATAAACATCACGTGGCCATGGAATGGTTTGGTCAAGCAATTGACGAAGATGAAACATTTTATTTATCGTTAAAAAATATTTTTGTTGAGTTTCATTTATTAAAACAACCTGATCAGGAGATTGAATCTTTGCAGCTTCTAGTTAAGGTTAATTTCTGTTTAAAGTTTAAAACATTCTATTTTATTTGTAATTTTGGATTATATAATTGTAAAAAGAGCACGTAAATTTTCCATGTTAATCCGTTCATAATATAATTAACTTTACAGGCTACAGCAAATCAAATTCAACATCCCTATCCTTACAATGCAGATGTAACTCATGTAGAATCACTGTATATGATAGCTAAACATCTTTTAGAAAGAGAACAATATGAAAAATCAGCAGAATGGTTTACACATTTGTTAGAGGTCTTAGAAGAGAAGAATGATAATCAGGTTTGTTTGTGCTATGGCAAGTTTTTTATCATCTTTAAATTTGTTTATAGTTTGAACAAATGAAAAGTTTGCTTGCAAGTAAACACTTCAAGTTTGGAGTAAATAAATGTATAAGATTTAAGTGTTTCTCACAATGGATCACAGGGCCTTCTCTTTAAATCTTCTTGCAAGTAAACCTTTAGTACAGTACAGTGATTCTCAACTGTTCTGAGGAACATCATTCATTACTTTTTATTATGAAGAGCAGTAAAAAATACATGAATGTATTGATACAGTATCAATACATTCAAAAATCAATAAGCGATTTCATTTTTATTGTTTCACAAAACAATGAAGCTATAAACTAATAAATTTTATTGTATTGAATAAAATAGAAATATGGAATTGTTTACAAATAAAGTAATATGTTGTTGAACTCTGGAATAAATTTGCAATAAAAACATTGAAATATTTTTTTATTCATGGAACACTCAAGGTAAGTTTGTAGAACATCAGTTGAGAACCACTGATCTAGTATATAATTACAAATAAAAGATTAATTGTGGAGATTTGATTCATTTTCTTAAACTTTATAAGTATTTTAAGTTATTTATGTACAGTTTAATTTCAAAGTAATTTATTTTATAGTGTTACAGAGTATCTAGTAATTTCTTCCTTCAACTTTCAAATATTTATCATCAAGCGGCATATGCTCATTTGCACTCTAAAAATTACAAAAGATGCATTGAAATATGTAGTAAATTAATTGAAGATTATTCTTCTAAAGACGATTTGTTGGAAGAAAATATTTCTAATTCCGAAGCTTCCAGTTATACGGATTCTAAAAAACAATTTGAAACTTTATGCATCGATGATGATAAAGTAATTAGGATATTAGAGAATACATCATCTGATGTAATTTCATTAATGATGAGATCATCTGCTTATTATCATGTAAATGATAAAGAACATGCATTGTTTGATCTTAAAAGGTAATTCACTTTTATTTAAGTAATTTTATATTTAAAAATCTTGTTATTAAATTGATACAGATACTTAATAACTTGCTCTTTTAATTACAAACTGAAGAAAATGTCTATATTCTGTCCCTCTTATGATTCATTCATTTTATAAATATTTGTATTTATTATAAGATGATGTAGCTTGCAAAACAAAATTTAATATAGTGATTGATATTATTTTCCATTTTATGTATGAAAATTCAAAAATAATTATTACAAGACACAAAAAACATTGAGGGTGATCTCATAACTGTAATATTGCATGAATATCATTCAAATACAATACACAAAACCTCAATATACATGATTAATTTACCGTATTTACTCACATATAAGACAAGTTTTTTTATTCATTTATCACAGCTTCAAATTCCTAGATCATCCTATACGCACGAGTGAAGGATTCTTTACATGTTTGCAAATAATTTTTTGAACTGTGTATTTGCATTTTTTACCGGATGCTTGCTCTCTTGTATTTAAAAACATAAGTATATTATCTGGATCATTTCAATCGTTCTTGTATATTGTCAGGAGTAAAGATGAATAGCAATAGGAAAAGCAAAGCTTTTGAATTGAATTCCAGATTGAAATTCCAAAATTATATATGAGCACGATATAAGTTTTAATCCATTCCCATGTGAAAACAGATGATTATTCGGAAATCAGAATTCGGAGAAATTCATAAGTGTAATCGATGGCGAGTGGATTTGACTGTTAAGAATTGGCAAAAAAGGTTTCCGATTGTCCAGCTTTACATGAACAAATTATGTCAATTTTACAAGATTTTTCCTTAAAGTTTAAAATGCCAGTAATTTTTGTAGGACAATGTGTGCATTTACGTTCATTTGATGTTTTACTTGTGATTAAATTAAATAAAATTAGAATTGTGTTAATAAATCGAATTTTCTTTATTTTGGTCTTTAAAGTCACACCTCGTTCTATATGTGAGGTCGTCTTATATGCGAGTAAATACAGTATTTTATAAAAGTATCATATCAAAGTTAACAATCAGTGAAAAATGAATTAATTCTCGAATTAGGACATTGAGCTGTCATCTAAAATCATAAATTTATATTTATTTTCACTTAGATGGAAAATGCAGAAATCAAATTTAAAATTTAAAAACCAAGCAAAATATTTATCAAGCATTATCTGCACAGTTGTTTTCTTTATTTTTTCACAATTTTCTATAAAAGCTGAAGAATTAAAAGTGAAATGTTTGCAGAAATTATACTAAATGTGAAAATAGAAATTAAACTATTCAAATAAGAGCACTGCACTAAGAAAACTATGGTTCAGTTTAGTGGAGAGAAGGAGTCAATTTAGTGTTGCTTTCTCTGAGCTCTGCCAAGCTGGAAACATTGAATTTTCGAATCCGTGCTAACCAAAACCTGTACTGATTGAACAAATCCACGTACATTGAGAATTACCCTTATACAATTTTACATAATATTCATCAGTTTCTATATTATATACAAGCTTATTTTACATTATTCTGAGTTTAAAATTCATTTTTAATTAAAAATTTACATAGTCAATACTCCAATTCATTCATATTACGAATCTCAAACTGCTTTATTGGAGACTAAATATACATGCAAAATCAACAAGCTATTACAATGAAACACAATTTCCTTGTACTTTCAAACTGTGAAATTCATATTGGAGAACTCTCTAACAGTTCTAAAAATAAAAATGATTATTTAAGAACTGATAAAGAATCCATAATGATGGATATCACAGTATGAAGTTCATAATATGCCATTTTAATTTATACTAGTACATTTCTATTTAGTATGTCTTTGATCATAGCATCATTTAAGCCAAAGTTTAAATAAGACATTTTAAGTTAATGTATTATTAAGTGTAAGTTACATATATCGTCAAACTAACTTTGAAGGAGTTAGTTATTACTGGCAGATAACTGTTTAAAAAACTTTTTTGCTTCATCTTCAGATTAATTTGAAATTTTACACTTTGTTTTTATCCTGCAGATAAGAATAAAAGAACAAAATTTGAATCGGTGATCTAACAATAAAGCAAAGAAACTTTGAAAATGTTCATTAATGAATAATAATTGATTCTTTTAAAGTACTTCTGATGATTTTGATATTATTTTAAGTTATTTGTTCCTTAAAAGGAAGAAAACTGGGCAAAATTAATGGAAGACGTATTTATTAATAAATTATAATTACTTTTAGATTAATAACAATTACATTTGAAGTACATTAAGTAACATTTGAGTGATTTTAAGTTTACTTTTCATGGAATAAATTCTGATGTTTGCACATTAGAAAAAATCTATATTTTATGAGAATTTAATGAAATACAAGTTTATTTATAATATAAAATTGAAATTTCCATAACTTATAGTTTAGCATCACGTGACTTGAAATGAGTGTTGAATAAGATACAGATTTTATTTATGCACACACAATACACTTAATATATATTTTCTTTTTTATTATAGGTTACGCATCATCCTACAGACAAAATCCAGCATGAATACACACACAATACATAATCGTGCAAAACGAATAAAAATTGATGGTAAGTATAATCTGTTTGTTGGATTAAAATTCAACATTTGTAATGGAATTTCCAGTCTCAAACTTCGTGTAAATCCTTCCTAATTGGAGCAGTCGATCATAAACTTATCTTATAAACTTTTGAGCCTTTCAATCCTTCTTTACAATTGAGAGGCTTGAAAATCTGAAAGGAAGACATCACATTGTCTAAAAATTGGAGTTAGAATATCTAAAATTAAGCATGCCATATATAACATATAGAATTTACATGTAAAGTTTACACACTAATTATAATAACTATTTATATTTAGAAATTGAGAAAAAAGAAGAAAATAATGAAGAACCAAGGGAAAATTTAGCAATTATGTGTCTAAGATCTCAAGTGTTTAACAATCTTGGAGTACAGTGTGTGTTAAAAAATCGTTACGAGGAAGCAATGCGACTCTTTCGAATTTCTCTTTCCTGTTTTTCAGGTATGAGTATTTCTAAATATTTATATTTTTTTTATGTACTTTAGATTATGTAACAAAAACTGCAATTATTTAATTTTTCAAAAACCTCTATATGAGTTTGATTCAGATAAACTTCATATATACTGTACCTAGAAAAGGTGCAGCAGGCAAAAGAGGGATTGCTCATTCATTTATCAGATTTCTCAAGATCCTTCCATCTTTGCTTCATCTCTCCTGTAGTATGCTTTCACACATCTCTTATGCTCATAATCTTTTGCATCTTCACACTCATCCACTCACTCCCATCATAATTATCTTGGTTACCTACTTCACTTTCGGTAGATTTTTAAAAGATATCAATAAAACAAATTTTCTTACAGGAAATACTGACGTGGCCTACAATTCTTCCTTGCTTATGGCATTTCTTAATCATAAAGAAGAAGCCATTCTTTCTTGGATTAAGTTCAGAAAAGAAACCGATAATTTCGGTTATCCGACATCTCTTACGATGGAACAAATACAGAATTGCGAGCAAACGATAAAACTTACAACCCCGAAGGAATCCGTATCTCAAATGGTTATCTCGGACAGATTACAATTCTTGCCTTCTACTCATTCGACACATTTAGGATCGATACATATTTTGAAAAATGCTTTTGTTCCGTTATATGCTACCATTCATTAACATATTAAATAAGTATATAATAAGTAATTACCTTTATAAAATCATTTAAATAATTTATTTATGTAATTTTTATATTATATAATAAATTTATTCATTGGATTTATGAAATAAAAATTATTTTTAAAGTTTATTTGATAACATGTAATATATAATTTTAAAAATACAGTAAATTTATATACAGACAATATTTTTATAACAAATTCATTTAGCATAATCATCATCATCATCATCATGGCCATAACTGCATAACCATACTTTTCATAATGATGGCGATTAGAAAGATCAAGACAATCTTTGTCTTATTTATTTAAGTACAGAAATAATACTGTTCAACAAAAATAAAAGCTTCCAGAATTAGCAAGCATAGTACTATACAAATAAGCAGAAGATGGAATGAAGTGGAACAAGGAGCCATGCCTTAACATCAGTTGAAGGTGATCCAAGGTCGGGAAGATCTTCGACACAATACGTATAAACATGACACTTCATCAGCAAAGATGCCTCAGTAGAAGGGAAAATGTTGAGCATATTATTTGAAAATGTATGTTGAATATTCTTTGTAAATGAGTTTCTTTTATGGTTCCAGACTTTCTATAGTATATGCCTGTACTGTATATGCATTCACATTTATGTTATCATCATCACAGAATGGAAGGAAGAAACTGATAAATCTCTGAATTTGAATTCACTTTAAAAATGAGAAATAGATCTGTTTCTATAAATTATAAATAAATTGTAAAGGAGTTTTAATATGTATTCAGAAATCCTACAATTAAATTTTTAACATGTTTGTTACTACATGAGCCATTTGTATATAAAAGATAACATAGATGATGAAAACTAAGGTGGTGATGATGATGATGATGATGATGAAATTATATTTCGTTTAAATATTTCTATAGCAATTATTTTTTATAATAAAATGATTAGTTTTGACATATTTCTGAGGAGTAACTCATACTGTATAAAATGCTTCCATTACTGCCTATTGTTTGTTTCCTTGCATAGCTTACCATACATACAGAGAAGCCGAACATTTACAGGTTCCTCTTGAGAAAAATTATGTACCAGGTATGTAAATGCATTTAAAACGTTTTTAAAAAAGGTAAAGAGAAAGACCTAGAACAGGGTTGTCCAACTTTTTTTTCTAATGGGCCAAATTAGAAATTTACGTATATTCAGCGAGTCATAAAGGTATCTTATATAAATATATTCTTTTAAAAAGTGAATAACAAATTTTAATAACAAATATATATATATATAATTACAAAAAATACTGTATTATTTATTGACAGTAAAAAAATAAATTATACTCATACAAAATAAAAATAAATTCAATGCAATTTTTGACATTGCTTTCCTTTTATAATATTGTTAATATCTGCTTTTATTGTGTGTCGAAACCGTGTCTTCTTTTTTTTGTTTGGTTCAATGTCACGACTGGATGAATTCATAGATATTTGTCAATTTTCATCATCAATTTTTTATTTCAGAACTTTATTTGTCGTGACACGTTTTGGCTTTAGCCCCTCTTCGGTCGGCTACGCAATAAAATATAAATATAAATTTATTATATTATATAATATTCTATTATAACAATTAAAGACATACCATTATATCCTGGAATAATATATATATGACAATCGTAAATACCATTACATCTCGGAATAACATATATACAACAACCGAGATACATCTAGTTCACTGTTGAATACAATCAATTATTAAAATTTGGCAATTAAAACCATGTTGTAAGATAAGAAAATTAAACGACTAAGTAAAAGATTTGAATATCCGGGATTTAAAGAAGTCAAGAAGTGGAAGGATAACGTAGTACTAAACCAAACCGATGTAGAGATTCTAAGAACTATGCTAAAAACACTACAAAATGGATTGGACTTTAACGGCCCGAATCAATGGGATATGCTAGACATCATATCACATCTAGATTATATATGTAGTAATGTAACCCTACCAGAAGATAATGACGACGTAAAAATAAAAATTAGTAATAAATTAAAAAATTATGTAAAAAACGATAAAAGAAAGAAAAAAGTTACCGAAAAATTGTATGTTAAATAAAATAAAGAGATAAAATAGAAAAATTAAAAACCTTCTTTAAAGCTAAAGATAGAGATTATAAAAGCAGATAAATCAAAACAGATTATTATTATAGTACAACAAGAGTGGATTCAAACAAAAAAATTAGAAATAGTTAATAAAGAGGTTAAAGAGGAACAAGTACGACCCATTGTCAACTTCAAAAATTCTATTTTAAATAACTTAGAAAAATACTTAAACATTACAAAAGTATAAAAATTCAGAATATGTGATTAAAAATGCCAATGAACTTATACAAGAAATGAAAAATATAAAAATAAATAACAATTACAAACTGGCAAGCTTGGATATAATAAATATATACCCTTCAATAAAATGGAATTTAATAGAAAAGAACACTAAAAGAAATTAAAATGAAAGAAGAAGAAATAGATTTAATAGAATTCGCTTATAGGAGTAATTATTTTACCGTTAATAATAAGTTTTATATACAACAAACACAGGTATAAGTATGGGATCAGTCATAGGTCCCAAACTAGCAGAACTTGTTATGATATATATGGATCAAGCAATTAATAAAATTACAGGTATAAAGTTTTATAAACGATATGTGAATGATATAATTAACTTATATGACCAAAAAATTATAAAAGTAGAAGAAATATAAGAAGATATAAATAAATTAAATGATGATATTAAAGTAGGAAAGGAGACAAACACAGAAATTAATTACCATGACATAAAGATAACCAGAACTGAAAAGAATATCAAATTCAAACCATATACAAAACTATGTGAGATAAGAAAAGTAATAAATTACAATTCAAACACTCCTAAATACATAAAGGAAAATATATTCAGTATGGAGTGTAAAAAAAATCCTAAAAGATGTCTGGTGTAATAATAAGATATAATCTACCTGCAAAAACACCTCAACGTAAGGACAGTTTTATTTGTAAAAAATCCTTTTATAACATGGTTTTAATTACCAAATTTTAGTAATTAATTGTATTCAACAGTGAACTAGATGTACAGTATTTCAGTTGTATATATGTTATTCTGACATTGAACCAAACAAAAAAAAAATCTGCTTTTATGATCTAATTCTAAGAATGTTAGTTGAATGGGAATCACTCAACCTATTTCTTTTAGCAGTTTTCATGTTTTTCATGCACGTACACAAAAAGAATTGTTCTCAACAGTATGTACTACCCCACACACATAACATTTTTGTAGATGAAACAATTTTCTAGCATCAATTACATCATTACAACATCAAAAGTGAAACGAGAATAATTTTTACAACATACTTTACCAAAATAAATGAAAATGTACATAAAAAATTTAGGGTGCAGTGAGCCACGAGATGGACATCCCTAGCCTAAACAATCGAGGAAAGAAGGAATCTAGAGAACGAGAGAGATATAGAAGAGTGGAGGGAATCATCCAGAGAGTAAAGATGAGGAAAAGATTGATGTAAGAAGCTAGAGAAGGAGAGTTGAATGGAATGGGAGGAGATAGAGGAAAGGAGTGGTCTAGAAAATGAGAGAGATGGAGGGAAGGATTGATGGAGATTGGGAGATGGAGAGGAGAACCAATCTAGGAAATGAGAGAGAGCGTGTGTAGAATAGATTGGAAGAAGGAGGGAAGAAGTGCACCATAGAGCAAGAGGAAAAGAACTGGACTAGAAGATGTAAGAGGTCAAACGACAGAAGGATTGAGTAAGAGCATCCATTAATTACTTATACAATTTAAGGGAGGAGGGGATCGAGGAAATGTCTACGTAGACATTTTTAGTGGTGGTATTGGCATACGAATTATTTCTTATAAGCCTACTTACTAGTTGTGAGTAATATTTACAGAATTTTTAAGTCATTTTAGGGGGTCCATTCAACATTAACTAAAAGGGAAGAGCTTTGACAAAAGTACTGTATGTCATTGTATTCAGTAGGGAAAGAGGAGGTCAAAGTGACTTAAAATTGGACAATGGATGGACAGAAGGTAGATAGCTTCCAGCATCCTGCTGTCAAATACTCTATGATGATGATGATTAAATATTTTAAAATTATGTTTAATTCTGAACTTAATGAATATAAATCTTAATTTCGAGTACTTATATAATTTTACTCGTTATTAGCATTTACAATTTGTTATAAAACCCATCCCTGCCCTGAAAATCAAGCTTTTTGCCATTTTCGAATATTCGGTTACTATTCGGTATTCGGCCAATTTTTCGCTATTCGGCCGAATACCAAATATTTAATCACTATTCGGC